TTTATAGATAAGAAAAAGAAGAAAGAGGAGACTAAGGTGCCTGTGCGTGACATGAAGGAAAAAGGTGGAGAGGAGGAGAAGAAGGACAAACCCAAAGCTCATGCACCCAGCCACGCTAAGATTCGCTCCATAGGTAAAGGTGGAGAGCTGTTTGGCTCTTTCTCCAATAGTGCGTCTTGTCCTTCTCTTCGTCTTTCTTTGCCTCCCTCTGCTTTTGTTGTTTCCCCCATTAACTTTGCCCCTCCTTGAGCCTGGTTCGTCTAAAGGAAACTTCCTGTTAAAAGGGAGTTTATTCTTACCACTGTTGCCAAATGATTGCTCATAAATGTCTGTTATTGTTGGGGTTCTTTCTAAAACTGGGTTTCTTTACAATATAAAGCACCTTAAGGGGATTGTTGTTCTGAAGTTGTAGTAAATAAATAAGTTCTTTGTGAGCATCAGTGTTTTATGTTACTCAGGACTGGAAATCGGAGACCCTCCCAACCCAGCCCCTCCTAAGAAGACGCCAGCTGCCCCTCAGCTGGGTAGCAAGTACAACATCAAGCCTCCAGTCCTGAAACGACACAGGTATTGCACCTGCACAACAGCCTGTTCTGTGAGCTTTCTCAGTGGTGCCCTCAGGTGGCGCTAACACTGCAGTGCTAACATTCTTCTTCTTGTGTTCATTTTTTCACCTCCAGCTCTGGCTCAGGAGATGCTCCACCTCAGGAGAAAAAGTATAAACCTCTAAACACACCCTCCAATTCCGCCAAGGAGATCAAAGTCAAAATCATTCCCGCACAACGTGAGTTCACATTTCCCCACCGAAGAACTCTTAAACACAAGGACGTGATGGTGACGTATCAGTAATCTTGTTTTCTTTCTTTTCTTCCTGCAGCCATGGAGTGCACTGGCTTCCTAGATGCTCTGAACTCTGCCCCAGTTCCCGGGATCAAGATCAAGAAAAAGAAACCTAGTGCTAACATTACAGCTAGCACCAAGGTGGTCTCCCCCACGACTAACAAGGTAGTGACAGGACAGTCTGACCTCAGATTTTATTCAAGATTTTCTTTCCTTGTTGTTCTTCTTAATTAATTTAGTCATTTTGTCATTTTTAAAATTATTGTTGTATTTTATGTAAATGTCCGCAGAATTAGTCTGTTTTTGCTTGACAGGAAATTATAGACATTGTTTTGCTGTATTTCTGTTAATTTGTATCGAATTCTTTAGTCTCTTGTTGTGTGAGACACAGAAACTGTGCTGTTCTCACCACATACTCACCACTGTTGCCTTGTCTCCTTTAGGCAAGCCCGTTCGACAGCAAACCTGTATATTCTGCATCTTCTACAAAACCAGCATCTCCAGAAAGCGCTGCTTCCAGCACTCCTGCAGATGAAAACCAGGAACCGGAGCAGCCTGGGACCCCCGTTCCCTCTGAGGACCCAGAGCCCTCTGACAACGGTTAGTTATTGAAGATGATGATGATGATTTGTAATGAGCACATGTTGCCTCCAGGGTGTTTTCTTGTTTTGTTGGAAACGAGCATAAAACATTTCCCTTGTTGGGTCTTGTTTACAGGCGAGAAACCAAATGCTCTGGCAGAGCCACGTGGAGAAGAAGAAAGCTTGACCAAGAAAGGCAAGAAGAAGAAGACGGTTCACTGGGCTGAAGAGGAGCAGCTCAAACACTATTTTTACTTTGATCTGGATGAGACAGAACGAGGTACAGCTGGAGGTTCAAATACCAAAGTGTTTGAGTCGACTTTTTACAGTTGGTCTGTAAAAAACAACTATTAATGCTTTTATACTTAATTCACAGTCAATGTCAACAAAATTAAGGACTTCGGTGAGGCGGCAAAACGAGAGCTAATGATGGACCGGCAGACATTTGAAATGGCTCGTCGGCTTTCCCACGATACCATGGAAGAAAGAGTCCCCTGGACACCCCCAAGACCCCTGACGCTGGCTGGCTGTCTTGTTACTTCAGGTGCAAACAGCACAGAGAAACTCACCCAAAGAGACCGTGAAATGGGCATTCTGCAAGAGATCTTCCTCAGCAAAGAGAGGTAGGGCATATGTACGCGCGGTGGTTAGTAAGTGCATGTTTCCAGGATCGAGCAGATGCCAAAAAGATGAGAAAGTAGAACACGTTTAAACAGTATGTGTGCTGCTACGCCCTCAGTTGTGTGCCTGAGATGACCGTTTCAAGCATTATTTACAGACGTTTCTTCATATTAGAAGCTTCGGTCTTGCTTAGCATCCGCCATTGTTGTGGTCTGAGAGAAAACGAGTCTCACCATGTTCATACCAAAAAGTTAAATCGTCCTTTTATTAAAACAAGAATTTGGTGTTTACAGTTTTCTTTCCTTTCTCATCATCAGTGTGCCCGACAGTCCACACGAACCAGATCCAGAGCCGTATGAACCCATGCCCCCCCGTCTCATCCCACTCGATGAGGTTGGCTCACTAAAACACACACACTC